AAGAGAGAGACAAGAGGGGGAAGATTAGGATACGCTAACCGCAAAGGTTGTAACAGAGACTAAAAACAGCACCACGTACCGCTCATCACATATACCGACAAAAATGCTAGTCGATTCTTTTGCAGCCAGATTCGTCGGAAGACAGGGACATCGGCGATTTAGTTCACCACGCTTTTCTGTCTGAATACAATCCGAATTGTGGTCAAAGGCTTGCACGCTAGGCACCTCGTTTCCAGGTCTTCTATAAGGAATAGGATCTAAAGCAGAACATGGTTTGGATCCGTTCAAACCGAGCGAAAAAGCAAACGCGGCGAATTCGAAAGAGACCGGATTCCCGGACGGAGTGGATGCCCTATCGGCAGCACCTGCTCCAACGGGGAGACGAAAACGAACTAGGGCTGGGTGATTTCGCAAACGTTCTAAGGGGCCAGGAGGTTCAGGTCCATTTGCGACCATTGTTGGAGAAGACTTGTCCAACGGCGGCTCAGATGGGTTTGTACCCTCACGACCGCGAGAACCGAGTTTCCCATGTGCCGAACTGAGTCTGGTTCCTTGTTCGTGACAGATCTAAAAGAAAATTAACAGGCGACTTGTGCATGTTTTCAAAACGGAAATAACATGGATTAAAAATACGCTTACATGTTTTTGAGCGAACTTTTGATATAAAATTGGTGAATATTGTTAGTGGTTTTGTCTGTGCTGTACATAGAGACCAGAAAATAGATTAAATGTACATGCCCGAGGGACAGGAAGAAGCCGATACAGATAACACCCAGCCTCAGTTGAGCGTACACCTTATTAATGTGATGTATTCAACAAAGAGAACGGTTCTTACAAGATGGTTAGAACATAACGCCTCCCAGGTGAAGGATTCATATCAAGGCCAAGTAACTGGTTTACTTTGTGTGAAGAAAGTATGGAAGATCTTGAATTAAAAAACGAACGGGTGTAAGCCATTGGAGTCATTTCCTGAAAGAAGGGAAGGGTGATGTGTATTCTCTTCCGAAATAAACTCCTTTTTATTCAGCAATATTTGTGGATCAAGATAAGATTTAATGTAATAATATCAGTTCTGCTTAATCACAACATGTAGGCTGGTGGTTACACAGTTGCCAGAGACGTACGCAAATTCGCTGTTGGATCAATGATAGTTCACAAAATTAAAACTGCCAGCATTACCATTAATTGATGAAGCCTGGAAAACTGAGGTTTGCACTACACCTTCCGGAAGCAGTTCGCTGCATTTGTCTGTACATATGCACACGGCAATTTATGTGACCATTTGAATACGGTCAAAACGTACAGGGTATCAAACCGAGAAAGAATGTGATACACTTCATTCATCAAAAACCCGTTTTTTTTCATCAAGCTAATGCCAGCTGGATAAGCAACTGATAGTGTTTATATAATTGGGGATGGTGATTTTGAGTGCTTAATATCTCGGCCTATCTGAGAAACCCGATTTTGATTGCGTTATTCTGCATGACACAGTGCTTCATGTAGTAGGATGGATGAACTACTTATCACCGGTGACGTCATAGTTGTAAATTTAACAATTGTTGTTTTCTGAAACCAGATCGGGATGTGTTTGGTTACGCGACAACGCAATTTTCTCTTTGTCCTGACAATGTAGATCGCCGAGCATCTGCCTTTGAACCGATAGATGCAGTTGTATTAGATGTGGGAAGAGAGCGGTTCCTTCACCGAGTGTTGGCAACCGAGCGACTAAAAAAATATGGATAAGATCAGTTGCCTAGTTGGCGGCCCTACCAGCCCATTTCAGTCGATTGGTTGCCAGGTAACTGATACCGTCTCTTTTAAAAGGAAGTTACCGGACCACTAGCATCGTGTCCACACTTGGTATCGTTTTCCATTGTAAAATTTACTTCACAACAATGTTGTGAGAAGGAGAGATTATTTAAACAGTTCTAGAATCAACACGAAAATATTACAGTATCATTTCACAATGAATCAAAGGTCCATGTCGCCTTTATGAATGTAGAACTTTAAACTCATTACAGAACACAGGCGTTAGGGATCATCCGTTGTGCCTTCAGCCATATTCTCGCGTAGCTAAATTACCTTCTAACTATAGGCGAGCTATGACAGCCGGTGGTTGGTTGCGTAATTTTTACCTCATCTGCAACTAGAAATGCCTCAATCTTACACGAAACTGTTATCGCCTTAAATGACAAGTACCAATCAAAGGTAATGCATCATTGTTACAACATAGCCCAGGCACAGACGTTCCGAGCTCGATGGGTTAGGGACCTGGAAATCTTAGGCGTCTTATGTGCTCCAACGCCCACAGTAGGTCGATAACCGTCTTTGAAATCGAGCGGTGAACGGTTTTACATAGAAATGATCTGAGTTCATATAAATTTCACGATTGCACGTTGTCAGTTCAAACTGGATGCTGTTGTTCATATTGTTCAACCTGTTGCATCCGTCTTAAACAAAAGTGAGGGTATCGCTCGTATGCCTTTTCATGAGCATGCCAACACCTTGAGTTTTCTCCAGCGAAGATTTTTTAAGGAACGCCTTTCTGAATGTGCTCTGTCACCGAAAATTTGGACTGATTACTCTCCCGTAGGACCCAGTGTACTTCGTCGGATGGCACACAGTCGTCTTCTATTAACACTGATTCGGATCGTCGATTCTCCAGAAGAGAATTCAAATGTTTCAGCATTTGCAATTCGACTNTTGAGTAGTTTGATTATAAATAACAATATCCGTTGACTGTGCTACGCTGAATAATCAATGCCTAATGAATTACGAAAGTTGAACGATTATTTGCTCAGTAACTTCTTACTACTGTTCCGTTTTTCGTGTTTATAACTGTACAGTTCTGTGTTGCTTTGCTTGTATCACAACTTTACACGTCATTCTGTACCGCCAAGTTTGAAGTTGAGAAATCGAGTTGGTGAGCGAACAGTTATTTTCGGATATTCCTAGTTATGCTCTTACATATCATATAGTGGGAAAATGGTTACATATTGCTGACCATTGGTTCAATCTAAGGTAATTGATCGGAGGTAGAGAATACAGGATGCGTATGTGTGCGTGTGTCTGTGTATGTATGTATGTAAGAATGTTTGTGTTAGTTCATGTGACCTTTCCCCATTTGGGTCAAGTGACGCGTCATGTTCTGTCTGGGTTTTCATTCCGGGCCAAGGCAAATGGAGCGCTTGAACCAGTCCTTTTACGCACACAGGTTAGGGCCTAGTAAGCGAATGGCAATCAACTTGCGGAAGCCAACACTCATATGGACATTTTACATAATTGTGTGATTAATAATGAATACTCCAGTTGGTACTGGAAACAACTTCGCCGAGATCGCATCTGGCCAAACAGCAAAACCCTCAGGAGACATGTGCTGAGTGTGTGATTCATTGAAATTTAAAACTGCGCAATTTGAACGGAACGTCTTTCAACGACAGCACATTGTGGATGATTTACCTGGGAATGAACGTTTGGAATTCTACAAATTCCTAAGTCAAATCAGCACGCGTCGTATCCAGGTCGTTCGAGAACGTTTAGCACTGAATTCCCACAGGGTTGCATAGATGTCCACTTTTCCCAATAAACCAGATAGATTCGTACATAATTTTTCTGATAGGCGGCTATCTTCTATAGAAATGGAAGCCTTATCACTGGGATGGAAGTTTTGTTGCCCTCAGAAGAGACATAAGCGAATCGATTTGGAGGTCCAATTCGAAAGCCTGATGGGTCAAACGAAGGACTTGATACCCAATTCAGACGAGGATTTGGAAAGGTGAAAAGCTGCTATAAGTACCAAAAGCTTCACAAACACAACCGCGGGCCGCTTTGAGGGAACTCAGAAAGAACAAAGACATTATACTGCTCAAGCCAGATAAAGGAGCCGAGGTAGTTATTATGAACAAAACCG